AAAAAAAAAAAAATCAGAGCAGGCTTGAGAGCTACATTCTTCCAACTCTACTTTGCTTTCATGATAAATGAGGAAATTCATAATTTCCAAAGTGCATTTGGATGACTTAGAGGTTATATCATAAAGGAGCAATTTCAGAGTTGAGAAAAGAAACAAAAACAGTTTTACACTGAATTGGCAGAAACACACATTTGAAGTCATTAGGTATTGTGGATCAGTTGTTCTAACAGCTGTTATTAACATCAGCTCAGTTCCAGCTTTCTGAAATTGCCATAACCATAGTGTTTAAATATTTAACTTAAAGAACGAGTAAGAAGATAATTCCAGGTACAATCCCTATGCTGGTTTATAATAACATTACTATGAAGATTGTTCTGTAATTCAGATGTGCTCATCTTTTCTGTATCCCTTTACATTTCCCCAGGTGAAGGTCTTTTTTTAAGGGAAATACTTTCCAGATTTGTATAGGCATGGTTTTAAAACAGATTTTGTTTCCTAGTTTCCCTCTCCAAGTTTAAATAAATTCATGTTTGAAAGTTTAGCGGTGCTTAATTAGTCCAACTCAGTCCAACTTTTATTGTGTATTTTTATGTATTATGTTTCTCTTTCATGACACTCACATTGACTTTCTCTTTTTATTCTCATTCCCACTGCAAAGTTATCAAAGGTTAAAATGAACCCCAATTTTAAAAAGATTGGTGAGTGCTTTTCATAAAATTTCATCAATTGAAAAGGACTGGGAACATAATTTAACATATTAAGAGTCAATAACTTGAAATGTGAAACTTGAAACGTGAGTTACGCAAGAATACACACAAGTCCTTAACTTTCCTGAGAATGAACCAGTAATGTTTCTTTTAACTCAAAACCCTTTCAGGAGTTCATACATATATTTTTCTTTGCTTTAGAAAGAGATCTTCCTCTTTAGATGACGGAATATTGAACTAACAAAAACCTGGCATAATTCCTAGTATTTTCAGTGAAAATATTATTTATTCATTTAGGGTGCAAGCACTTATATCTTCTTATCTTACTGATGAATGTGATATTTTTACATATGTAGATTTCAAGATGAAATTAACTTTATTATTCTGAATGTAAGTAATATATGCTGACTGGCAAATAAATTGGGTAAAAATAAAGAAATGCACAACACTGAAAAGCCCTTCATTCAGAGAACAACACATTTTGTAAATCCTGTCAAATGGCTTTTTCTTGCATGCATCTTTATGCAAACATATTGGAAGGAGGCTAAACAAACAAGATAAATTATAGCAGATCATGTTTAGATATCCATATGTAACCGTTTTGTTTACAAAATGCATTTTTTTTCATTCATAGGAACATCTAATCTATACATTCCTACCCTTTCAAGCTTTGAATGACACAGCAAAGATTTCTTCTATGTCAAACAAAAAGAGTTATTCTGGCTGTGTTCTTGTGTATTGTGTGATAACCATAACCTACCTGCAAATGCATATGTTATATTTAAATGAAAATCTTAATAGTCTTTAGCACCTGCTTTTTCCATGTTTTACTGGCAAGGAGGTACCTATCTCTGAGGATATTTCAGTAGCAAAGTAGTAAGTTATAAGAGAAAACATGCATAATTTTAATATTAATGTGGTTGAGATAGTGAGAATCAGTATAAGATGACAAGAACACTGAAATTTACAGTAAAAAGGGAAACTCTCCTTGGGGGTCTGAATTTTATTGAAATGTCTAAAAAGAGAAAATCTCAACAGTTGTGAGGTTGTTAATTAGCTTATTGATTTTTGCTGGCAGTAATGGAACAAAGCAGATATGACAGTAGGAGACTGTGCAATGATTGCAAAACACATCAAAATGCCTTCTTATCATGAAGTAAAATTAAATGATAACTTAACAAAGAGGAAATGCCAGGATGAATGTTCAATAGCTCAGGGAGAAAATTTCTATAATGCCTCTTACAGAGAGCCTGTTTACACTATTGATAAGGCCTTCATGCTGACAATGATTAGTTATTATTAATTAATCCTCACTTTTTTTTATCAGCAAATATTAGAGATTTATTTATTTATTTAGACATACAGAACTGGAGTACAGGCCAGTGGTGCAGGGGTGGTGAGAAGATTCACCAGAGACAGAGTGGGGAGTAGAACAGGCAAATCAATGAAGTACACTGCTGAGGGGAGCAGCAGGCAAGTCAGAAGCACTCTGCCATGCCATGTGGATCACCTCCGGGCTGGGGTTCAAACTCACACTGTGGATCACCTCCGGGCTGGGGTTCAAACTCACACTGAAGCAGCTGTAGCTAGTTTGCAGGGCTGTGACCTAACTTGTTGCGCCACCAGGGAGGGTCCTAGTTAATTCACACTTTGAGAAACATTTCTGTGGCTATAAATAAATCCTCATTTGAATTTTAAGATAAAACAAAGTTCAATTTTATTATAGTCTGTGTGCCAATTTAAAAATTCAATGCATTCCATGAATGATATTTGCTATTAATTATGATCATTCATAGATGGTAACTAGAGTTATAAAAAAGAAGCCTCACATTTGTGATAATGTCTTTTCCATATCATTGAATATTTTAACATTTTTCTCCTCAAATAGCACATTGATCTTTTCAAAGGAAAGCATTGTTGCAACTTTAAGTAACTGACTTCTTTAAAGTTGATATTCTCTGCAGTAATTTTTTTCCAAAATAGTGAGAAAATCTAACTTTGTTTTGTTTTGTCCCATAGAATTCAGACGTCTTAGCAATGCAATTCTCTGACTAATGAAGTCATTTCTTCTTCTTAAACTCTTCTGAAATAGCTAAGATGATCCCATAGAAAAGTGAGTGATCCAGAAAAGACCCAGTGTTAAGTGAAAAGAATGGTATTGAATTGTGAAAGTCGAGTTTCCATGGTTTAATAGTTTCAGAAATAAATACTGCAGATTACCAACTTCTATTTTTTCTTTAAAGATACTAACCTCCATTCTTTTGATTCCCCCTACTCCTCGGCCACCATAATAGGAAGCATCCACAGTTGGCCATTTCTTAGTAGGTAAAGATTCTTCTTCCTCCTAGATAGAGTTTTTTCACATGAGTATAATTAAAATTTCAAAATATTGCTTAGTCTAACTGGCACTCATTTAAATGTTTGTATGAAAAATACCACTAATAAAGAAGAAATGTGACATTTATACACAGAGCATAGGAATATATTTAAGCTTCCATATATGTGGAATACTACATAATATGAGGAACTTCCCTCCTATAATTTTAATTATCTCTTTTCTTTCACTAGGCTACCAGATATAGCTGCATAACTCTCTAAATCTTTGTATTACAAATTTATTCTACATTTCATATTTTAAAAGATGAAACATTAATACTTTTTTCAATATTCACTTAAAGCACCAATGTATATATAAGTTTGAACATTGAAAAAACTGAACTGAAACCCATGTAACTGAGACACTACAGAAACACACAATACCAGTACATTATTTTCTTGTCCCTAACACAATTTTGATTGACAAACAGAACCACATAGAAGTAATGATCCTTTCAAATTCAACAATTTAGCTTTAAATTGTCAGCATATGTTTTCCAACTTTTAAAAAAAAGAATGATGACATCAGAACAATCAATGTAAATGGTCAATTGAATCTCTGTGTGCAAACATCCTGGTGGCCAATACATGTTTATTAAGGTGTGAAGGTCTCATTCCTCTGACACATAAAAAAATATTATAAGACTAAAAAAAAGTGCTTTTTCAAATTCCAAAATACATAAGTATCATACTTGATCAAATTTATCATATTATCATATTACATATCACATTATATATTATCATGTTATGATTATCATAATAATGTGAGATATATAATATTATATATCACCTTATATATAATGTGATATAACATAAATAGTTCATTAAATTTGGAGATCATTCTACATATAGAAAAAAACACCCACATCACTTTTTAGGTACTCATTTTTACCTCTTTTGGTGCAGGAGGTGGTGGTGGAGGAGGATCCTTGATAACCTGTCCAAAAAAAACCAAAATCAAATGTAAAAACTTCAGTTGAAAGAGATATATACAGAAGTCCTTCCCTTTGAATACGTTCTTGCCTATAACTAGCTTCTGACTAGTCAGAGATGAAAATGGTATCTTGCGACTGACTCAGCAGCTAGGTTAAAAGAGCCTTTTCCCCTCCCTGCCACTCTGGGACACTCACTGTTAGAAGGAGGAATCTGTTGTCATGTCTGTGGGCTGCCCTGAAGCTATTAACATTTAAGGAAACCCAGAACAACAGAAAGTTACAGAAAGAGTGCCTGACCATCTCCCAGATGTGTCAACCCACCCAACAGAGATTCCAGACACATGAGAGAATTGTTCTTGAATTTTTAGTTAACTCCAGCCAGCAGTCAGGTGACTGTAATCATATACCCCCTGTGTAAGAATCTTATAGCTGAGCAGGTCTAGTTAGACCGGTGAGGACATTAAATTATTGTTAGGAGACACTAGTTTGTGAATTAGATTGTTAGCATAACAGCACCTCACAATTCACAAATCACATTTGCACACATTAATTCACTTTATCTTTGTTATATACCTATACACACACACACTCTCTATGTAAATGTCATATATATGATAAAAAGAGAGCAATTTCTGTGAAGCTAAAATATTGTTGGTTCCAACAATTAAATTTCTCTTTCAACCACTAAAATAAAGAACTAATGAACCTGACAATGGAAGGAGAAATGGAAAACCATCTTAAGTTCTTCATCTGGAATTAACTGTAGTGTTTTCCAATATGAAAATTATAATAGGATGTTAAAAAATACATCACAATATTTCCTTCTTTTGCTTCTGTGCCTTTCCATAATTAAGTAGGCCATATGTCTAGATGCATTTATATTCACCTTATTCCAGAAAAGAACATTAGGGTTTGTTTTTTCAATATTGTGTAATTAATCTTATTATAAATTTAAATTGATCTTGAAATTCTGGCAAATATTTTTCTGCACTATTAATAGTGGAAAAAATCCTTTAGCTCTCTACTAACTCAAATATTGTTTGTGCAAATTAAAAGACACAGTAGAAATAACTGCACCTTTAAAAACTGAACCAGATCTAAGGTTCCTGTCTGTGACATAATTACTATTCACAACAACCATATTTTAATAGTGTTGACATATGCCTCACACTCTAAAGAATCCTGAGTACTCACTAAGCTTATCTTCACTTTAGCTATACAGAGATGAAGGCTGTAACTTCAATAATTTCCTAAGTATTACAAAGTAAAAAATTACATCTAGTATTAAAACCCAGGTTAAAGGTTCATCTAGTTCCATACTCTGTGTTGAACTTTTGATAGAAAGCTCTTAAATTAAGGTTTGAATTGCCAAGGGAAAAAGTGCAGAAGAAAAGACCAAAAATTTGTTGAGTAGTTGTTATTTGTTAAGATGGATGGATGGATGGATGGATGGATGAATAGATTAATGGAGAAGGAGAGAGGGAGAGAGAAAGTTTCTAAACTTTATGGTAACTGTGAAAGATTGAAGTTACCACTGCCATTTTATGGAGACATATCATTAATTCATACCTAACGTCACTGTCTTAGAAACACTGGAACAGAAAATAAAATGGGTCTTCTGTGACATATGGAAATGTTCCCTTTTTCCACTCTATCACATAGCCTCTTAAGTACAAAAAAGGGTAAAAATAATCTGACGGCATTTGGCCTAAAAGCCAAACATAGCAAAAATCTGTGTCCAATGATATCTCTATATTTCAGTAAAACTAGTGCAGAAGAACCTTACTGTTAGTCCAAATACTTTATAAATAACAGTCATGAGAATCCAATAATTGTATTAATAGTGCAAGAACACATTTATTTCAGAAAAGGATGTATTCATATGCGCCATATTTTATGAGAATTTGCAGATTTTAAAAGGCATAATATTGCCTAGTTGCCAGAATTTTTTCCACTTAGCATCCTTCAGCTCTGTGTTGAAGATTCTGGAAAACACTTTCACCACTTTATGAACCATATGCAGAGTTTGATTCCCCTCCAATTTTTTTTTCTCGTTTGTTATTATCATCATCAGGGAGGATTACATCTCATCTACTTAGCTGCTAGAATGAAGATTTCAATTTGGAGGAGAGCCGATTTCTTTAAAAAAAAAAAAAGTTAGCTGCTTCAGGCAACAGTCCTTTTGATCTGCTCATTAACACTTTTCAAATGTTCGAGTGATGTGGGCATTCTTTGCACTAGAAAATGTCAGCACCGGAGCCTGTAGCCAGCTTGATGCAATCATATGTTCGGATATTCAGCAAAGAGTGAAAAGAACTGTCAACAGTGAACTGCTTTGGATTTAAAAAAAAAAGAAGAAAAGATACTGTACAACGACAGTAGATCAACTAGTATTTCAGAACTCTTTCTTGGAGTGACAAAAACAAATGCCCAGTTTATCAGCACTGACATCTAAATGCCTAAGCACCCAGACAATAGAAACATCATTCCTGGTGTTTACAAAAACTTGTTTAAAATAGATGTGGCTGTTCCATTCATTCTCCCTTTCTTTTAGATAACATCAGAGAGCAAATGTGCCTTTCCTCTGAAATGCATAAACACAAACTTCTTTACAGTATTGAGGAAGTCATTTTCTGATTCTCATGAAGTTAAATGCTTTCAAAATTCAGACCAAAATATGGAATGAATTATCTCCTTCCTGCCCTTTCCTCCTTGACATAAACATCCATGTCCAAAGATTCTGACTTTGAACAATGAGATAACTGGTGGGAAATCTGGACAATAAATAGAATTTAAAATGCCTAATGGAGCCTTGGAAGAACAGTGTGAGAGAGTATTCTGCCAAGAGTTAAATAAAGGTTCTGCTGTCGAAGCAAATAAACCAAGACCAGAAAGAATTTGGTACCCTGTTTTGTAAATGATGCTCTGTTGAAAAACATCACCATGGAAGCAATACGTAGTAGCATCACACTCTATTTCAAGGAGGCAACCAAACATAAATCATTTTAATTAATGGTTCAAGGAAGGCATATTAAAATTTAAATTACTTCTGTTTCATTGTGCATTCCAGAAAAAATCAGGCTGCTCTTAAAGTAACTCAATGAACGCACCAAGAGCCCTCCTCAACAATAAAAGTGAAGTGCAATGTAGAAGCATTATTACTATTTAGAAAGAACAGCACAGCTGTTGCAAGCTAGGAAAATTCTGTAGAGTTCCAGTCAGATATATTCTTATGAATATTGAACTTATAAGCAAATTGGGCTTAAAAGATAAATTTTTACATAGTTTAAAGTTAAGACTTTTTAGCTCTTTATGTAGCAGCTTAAACACACTTCAGAAAAATGAAATTTTCCCTTGAGGATGGAGAACTTTGGCCAAGGACATTAGAGCAAAAGTGAACATTTATCATTTTCAGCATATTCAGATATTTATTTGCAGCTGTATAACACACTCTAATTGACAACACTCCAGAAAGCCTTTGTTTGCCACCTCATTAGCCTTACAGCTGTAATTCTGCAATGTCTGGCTATTCCAAATGATGTTACGATAGCACTGTCATTTCTGCCATCCTGATAGTAAAATAAATCTGCATGGATTCAACATATCCTCTAAGCTAAACAATGAAGCAAACATCCATATTTTCTGATATTCCACTCATGAGTCAATACATGATAAGTTTCCGTTAACCTCTCCTATCTCCCCCCACCCCCACCCCTTTTTTTAAAATTCAGGAGTGAGGCTACTTGGGGAGCTGGACAGTGAGAGATAACTTCACACAAAAAGGAGAGCTTTCTCCTTATGGCCAGTGGGCAAACACAACACTATAATTCACTAATGTGAATACCTAGGAATTCCAATTTTGTATGAGGGCTTTTTGTGTTTATTATTAAATAAAAAATTTCAAAATAGCTTATATTTTTATTTATATGGGAAGTCCAGCAAACAGAGGACACTATTTTTTAACATTTTGAATGATACCATCTCTCTCTTTCATCCTTAAAAATACTCATTAAAATAAACTTTAGAAAGTTAATTTTAAAGTAGTCTCATAATAAAAGCATCTCGGGTGGTCAGATACTCTATTGAATGAATTTTTCCTTAACTTTTTCTGCTTTATGGCCTAATTTGGCAATCTGGTGAGTGTATGGGTCCCTTACTAGCATAATTAAGGTAAACTAAAATACAGAAGAATTAAAAGAACTCAATTATATTAAAATATAGCTATCAAAACTATCCAAATCTGTGCTATAAAAATATGTGTGCTTCTTTACTAATTCACTAATAAAGAAGATATAATGATAGATCTGGTAACTATCACTTTGAAATAGTGCCACATTTATATGATATTTTAAGAAATGCCTGAATTACTAAATATACGATATTGGGTATCTGTAGGATGACTAAAAAAATCTCCAGAACTACTAATACTTTATGGGCAGTGGCTTCCATCATAAAAGAAATGATAAATTTCAGTTTGAAGAAACTGAAATTAGAAGTAAATATATTTTTCATCAAAATTTACAATTCCATTAGAAATCCCCATAGAGCATATGTTAAAAAAAAAAAAAACCTAGAGAAAAGTGAAACTGCTTCTATTTCAGAGGTTTATTATAATTTAAAATTCTTATATAGTGGCATCTAGTTCATATTTATAGAAATACAAAGGGTGCCGGAGTCCTTCCTCATGGTGCAGGGGTTAAAGAAACAACGCTATCAAGCTACTGCCAAAAACTGCAGCGCAAATTCGATCCCCAGCCAGGGAACTGACCCACATGGCACAGAGGACCTCCCCTGTCTTACTGGCTGCTCCTCTCAGTAATGTAGTTCATTAGATCTGCCTGTTCTGCTCCCCATTCTCTCTGGCGAATCCCCTCATCCCCTCACTTCTTCCTTATACCCCAGTTCTTATACACATAAATAAGTATTTTTTTTAAAAGAAATGCAAATGGTGCAGTTCCTATTGTGTATACTCTATGAGGACAGATTTTAAATAAAGAATTCAGATACCATAAATCCCCTCATATATAATACTTCTCCATAGTTGACAGAATTTTGACTGTAACTTTAAACAAAGTAAATTGTGGATTTTTTTTTTTTCTTTCAAGAAAAGATATATCATATCTCTCAGTTTTAAAATTGAAATAGTTCGGGCCCTCCCTGGGTGGTGCAGTGGATTAAAGAACAGCACTAATGAAGCTAAAGCCACTTCAGCATGAGTTTGATCCCTGCCCAGGAAGGGACCACATGGTGCAGCAGACCTCTCCTGACCTGCCTGTTATTCCCCTCAGCAATGTAATTCATCAGTCAGCCTGTTCTGCTCCCCATTCTGTCTGTAGTGAATCCTCTCATCACCCCTGCACCTCTGACTTGTACCCCAGTTCTATAGGCATAAATAAATAAATCTTTTTTTAAAAAAATGAAATAGTTCAAGGTTAGTGTTCACCGTGCAACATGCATGGTTTACAATGATGAGTAAAATAAATGGCACCTGTGTTCAGAAAGTGTTAACCAATAAAGTGAGAAAGTAGTTAACAAATTAACACACAAATGAGGTAAAATTTTAATATGAACTATTCCATATTGGATATTATGCTTGTGTTTTGTGTCTTCTTCCTAGTACTAAATTAGTACAGCTAATAAGGTACATGTGGGAGTTTCACAAGTACATTATTCAGTTAAATGTTTTAGTTCTTTGCCACTCCTCATAGAGCTAATAGTCGGTCTCTAATTTCATGAGATGGTTCAATATCTAATCAATGGTTCAATGCCTAAATATGAATGGTAATGTACTGCCCTCTTCTTGCAAATCACAGACATCCTATGAAAGCTGTTTATGGATCCCTGTTGACAACTGGTTCTAATATTTATTTATCTATACACACATTCATCTACACTCTGGATACTTCTAGAAATTAAAAATTTGTTTCTTCCAAAAATTCTTTGACATTCTGAAATGGTAATTAAATTCAGTATATAAAACATAATACATATTTACTTTACAAACACCCAAAAGAAAAAAAAAACTATGATAATTGTAATTTTAAAGCCTACATAATTATAATTTTAAAGTCTTGGAATGGTTGCAAGAACTCATTACTAACATTTTCAAGGATATTTCCTTGTCTTGCATCTTACAGTCTTCTGTTCTTCACAAACAATTTTTATAGTAAGCTAATCTAAAAGCATTATGTAACAGTCCCAATATTAATAGTCCTGTGTCATGATTCCAAATCCTGAGGAGGTACAGAATTATTTAGGGGATATCTTGGTTTCTTAATGCAGATGTAACAAATTACCACCAGCTTATTGGCTTAAAACAGCTGAAATTAATTTTATTAGAGATCTGGAGGCTATGGTCCAAACAGTTCTACAAGGCTAAATCGGGTATTGTCAGACTTGGTTCTTCTGCAGGCTCCAGTTATATCTGTTCCTGGTCTCTCCCAGAGACTTGTGATTACCAGCATTCCCTGGTTAGTGGCCACATCACTCCAATCTCTGTTTCCATGATCACAGTGCCTTTCTCCTTCTGTTGCCTACCCTATCTCTGTCTCCCTCTTATTAGGACACTTGTGATTGCATTAAGAGCTGACACTAGTGATTGCCTTTAGAGTTGACCAGGTTTAGTCTGGTTATCTTCCTATCTCAAAATCCTTGACTTAGTCACATCTGCAAAGTCCCTTCTGCTGCATGATATAACATTAGTTTCTAGGAATGAAGACCTGGACATATTTAGAGACCACTGCTCATCCTACAACAGGGGGGCTTGCTATTGATCCTTGGAGAAGTCTCCCTTGGCCCTTCTCCTCAAGGAGAATTGCTACCATGAAAATCTGAAGGCCAGTGCTCTGAGAATCTACTTGACTTGAGGACAGGAAAAAAACAACTAAGAATCACTGCCTGAGATATAAGTACACTATCATCTCTAGCCATTGACTAAATATCTGGGAAATTTTAATCTGTTAATAATGAATAAGCCACTTCATAAAATATAAAGTGGTTGAATAAACAATGTGTAACAGATACTGAGGTTTCTGTTCAAGGTTTTTTGGTTTTAGTCTGCTAGGCTTTCTATATTGGTAAGAGTTCCTGAGCATATGCCATAATCCAAATATACCTGAGAACTGACATTTTGGCCATTTAGTTCATGTTTCAGATAAACATTAGATGTAAATATGTGCTACTCTTCATAGCACAGTTCCAGCATAGATCATTAGATTTCTAAGGACTAGATGCAGAAATTTGCCTCTACCTTTTCCCTCCTTATAAACTGACCTTAGGAAACATTTGCTATGATTCATTTATACGTATGTAGGAGTGTGTGTGTTAAATAACAGAGACACACACACACACACACATAAAGCTCATATTCAGGACAACTACTCTTTAGTCTGTATTTCTAAATATAAAAATAAATGTAACTCTCCCTATTAAGTAAGTTTCAGATACAGCACACTAGTCAAGTTTTCATGATGTTTCTATGCATCCTGAAATACTGAAAACAGGCTGATGACTGAATTATCTTTACAACACCTAAAAGCATGGGTAACACCAGTATTTGAGCACACGTAGCAAACTCCCAAGACATCCATTTCAGTTTTCACATGATTCTTTAAAAAAGTGATATGTTCTGGCACTTTTGAGCCTTGTGATCAACAATGTAATTGCAAAATAATGAAGGAAAGAAATCCACCATTGCCAGGTTTAAATTAAAAAACCAAGGCACACAAATCACACGGGGCGGGGGGGGGGCACCTTTTGCTTTTTGATTTGAAACTCAAGAATGCTAGCTATCCTAAAACATTCATATCTAGAATTATCAAGATTAAAACAGGAAACCTTCTGAGCATATGCTACTATGGCAGGAAACTGATTAGTTCATCAAAGAGATGGGATGTTTTTGTCTTTACTGTTGTCAGAGTTAATTCTGTGCCTCCTCCAGGGGCCACCTGCTCTGAGATAAAGGACTGTAAAGTTGCCTTATGAAAGCAGACTTAAGGACAGTTAATAAGTGCAGGAATAATACAAAGCACCGCCTGAAGTTGTAAGGAAGCTGAAATCAGCAAAGGACGGGAGTAAGGGGAGGGGTCAAGTAGCACAATGCAAGACACTGCTGGGATCTACATAAACTGCAGATAACAAAAGAAAGGCTATCAAAATAAGTAGAGGTATACTTTGAACAAGTGCTTCTTGCTTCTTCAATATAGGCTTTCCTATGAAAACTGAACAATCTTGTGAAACATGAACAATCCAAATAGGATTGTTTGAAAATATGCTGAACTTTGTTGCTTAACACTGTTATTTGAAATTTGTACTATTTCAGGACCTTTTCTGCCACTATATAAAACATTTCAGAAATAAGTCCTGTGCAAATACTAGGGTGTCCATCCGTTGAGGGATCAGTTTTGAGGTTATGACAGGTTGAGTCAGTTTGAATCATTTTTTATGTTTCAGTAAAACCTCTGAAAGAGTATAGGTGTGTGCCATACAAAGAGCCTCCCGCAAAGATATCCATACCCATTTTCCTGGAACTGTGAATATGTTACTTTACACAGCAAAAGGGACTTGTGGGTGTGTTTACAATTAAGGACCTTGAAATGGAAGATTATTCTGGATGACCCAGGATGATCCCATATAAGTCATAATGGATTTTCTTTCCCAGCTGGGTTCAGAATCAGAAGGGCCTGTGACTCTGGGAAAATGATCAGAGACATGTAATATTGTCAGCTTTAAGATGATGGAAAGGGTACATGAGGCAAGGAATATGGGGGGGGCTCTGGAACCTGGAAAAGAGAAGGGGAAAGATTCTCCTCTAGAGCAATAGGAGAGAAATGTATCCCTATAGGTACCTATTATCCCAGCTTAGCCTGGTGAGACACATGCTGGGTCTCAGAAAACATTAGCTATTAGATAATAAAGTTGGGTTGTTTTAAGCCACCAAATGGGTGGCAATATGATTAGCTGCAGCAGAAAAATAATACACACCCATACTCTTTCAGAGGTTTTACTGAAACATAAAATATGATACAAACTGACACAGCCTGTCATAACCTCAAAATTGATCCCTCAATGGATGGACACCCTAGTATTTGCACAGGAATTATTTCTAAAATGTCTTATCAAGAGGCAGAAAATGTCCTGAAATAGTACAAATTTCAAAGAAGTAATGAAAGATTCTGTGAACATTGCGAAAGAAAAGAAAAAAATAACTTGACAAATGAATTCAGCCCCCAATGAATTCAGCAGAAAATATTAAATTATTTGAAAGCACATTGTACAAAAGTTAAAAACCCATCTTCCCTACTACATTTCCTAACTTCCTTTCCCCTTCTTCTGCCAAAACTGACTTTGAGATGTTATTTAGATGCAGTTTTATGAGCATTTATTGGCATGCAAGTCTTCTAGGATTTATTATGGTGATAAAAGCCATTAAAATTTAATTTGCTAATTGAAACTTTGTTGTTATTGAACAGTAGGGCATTGATTTACACTTCACACCTCAATTAACAGCTCACTAATTTAAAAAAAAAAAAAAGAGTAGAGTTGCCTATCCTTCTTACTCACCACTTTGCAGCAAAGGGGCCAGAACCACCACATCAAACCAACACCCGACAGCAGCAACAGCACCAAAATAGCAATGAGGGCTCCAATCCCATTAGACTAGAGAGAAGGTAAAAGCAAGATGGTTAAGCAAAGCTTAACATCAAATCCTAAGTGCTTATTTTTTACAGGAGATGATAGGAACTTAAAACAAAAAGCATAATAATGTCAAACCAGATTTCTATTATATTCTTCTAAGTTCTATAATTTTTTTATATGTGATTTCACATGTGTCAAAACAGGTAATAATGAATGTAAAACCTTCCAAAGTGTCACAGTCTGCTTGGAATTATGTCTTAAAGAAAACGGGAAAATCACTATAGATCCGGAAATCAGAAATAAAGAGAGAGAGGTAGGTAACCCTTATTTTTTAAATCTCTAGGAAAGGATTATTTTAGTGTCAAGCATGATTACTCTAGGCAGAATTTATGCAGAATCTTCCCAGACTGTTTGATGATAGAACATGTTTTATATATTAAAATGCTAACACACACACACACATAAAATGCAAACAAGTGACTAAACCAACAATAATGGCTTCTTCATTGAACTAACACTGATTTATAATCTACTAACGATTCAAAGGTATAGGCTGACATCTCTTTAGATGTATGTTACCACACCATACCCACCAACATGGTACCCAAAATTCTCCACCATCACCCATTATGCCCCCTCCCCACTTTGCTCCCCCTCCTATCATTCCCATTTTGATAACTTAATTCCTGAGTCAGGGCGACTTTTTAAAGATACATTTCCTCTCATTAAAGACAAATCAGGGCCCTCCCTGGTGGCGCAGCGGGTTAAAGCACAGCATTGAGAATCTAAAGGCGCTTCCGAATGAGTTCTATTCCCGCCTGCCCGGGAGGTGACCACATGGGGTGGCAGACCTCTCCTGACCCGCCCGCTGCTCCCCTCAGCAGTGTACTTCGTGGATCTACCTGTTCTATTCCCCACTCTGTCTCTGGTGAAGCCTCTCACCGCCCCTGAGCCTCTGGCCTGTACCGCAGTTCTGTATGCACAAATAAATACATCTTTAAAAAAAAAATTCATTAAAGACAAATCAGTATAGGCTCTCCTTGGTGGTGCAACGGGTTAGGACACAGCACTGTAAGCTAGGCACATTCACTTCAGTATGAGTTTGAACCCCCACCCTGGAGGTGACCCACATGGCACAGCAGACCTCTCCTGACCCACCCGCTGCTCCCCTCAGCAGTGTACTTGGTCAATCTGACTGTTCTGCTCCCGGCTCTGTCTCTGATGAAGTTTCTCACTGTCCCTGCACCTCTGTCTGGTACCCCAGTTCTGTATGCATAACTAAATAAAATCTTAAAAAAAATGACAATTTTAAAAACAAACAAATAAGTATAGTCATAGATGTCAGAACAAGAGACATTTATTACAAACTCTGATATAAAGAGAAGGGGGAGGAGGTACCAGTATCCACCTTATAGAGAATTTTATTACAAGAGTCAGTCTACAAGTTTAACTTTAAACAGGTTGCTTGATTTCTCTGGATCTGTTTTCTAATCTTCAAAATAAGAAAATTATGGGAAAGGCATTAGTATTCTATGTCTCTTAGAGAGAGATTGAGGTTATTCTCTCTTAGAAAATCACTGTACACATTAACATCCTTAATGTTCTATATAATTTTGTAATTAAAAAAAAAGTCCAATGCATCCTATGGTTTATGCTGCTCTGAAAATTATTTTTAAGAGTTATATTTTAAATAGATTTATTAAAACTGGGAGGCTGTTTGTAATCAGTATCTTTTCCTTTTTCCCCCTCATTTATTTTCAATATCCTATAGAACAAGGATTCCACGGATCATCTTTGGGAAATACTGGGACAGATCAAAGCTAAGAGTCTTTCCAATACATAAGCAACAATAACAGCATTTAATTAGGACATTTTGTAATGGAATGTGACATATAATACATAATGATCTATGCACTGTAAGAAATAATCTTTTTGTGAAGTTATTTGTAAATAACTGAAAAAAGAAGTTTTTGGTTTTTTTTAAGGTTTATTTACCTATGCACACAAAACTAGGGTGCAGGTCAGAGACGCAGGGGTGGTGAGAGGATTCACCAGAGACAGAGTGGGGAGCAGAACAGGCAGATTGACAAAGTACCCAGCTGAGGGGAGCAGCAGGCGGGTCAGGAGAGGTCTGCTGCACCATGTGGGTCACCTCTGGGGCGGAGATTGAACTGGCACTGAAGCAACCAACTGGCTCACTTGCAGTGATGCGCTTTAACTGGCTGCACCACCAGAGAAGGCCCAAAAAGAAATATCTTTTTTTTTTTTTGTAAAGGCTGGAAAATTTGCAACATGGATTCCAACAACATGCAATACCTAGATGGTATTATGCAGAGTGCAATGAAGATGGAAGGGATAAAAGCACCATATAGTTCACTCACATGTGGTACATAGAAAACAAAAAACAAATGGTTAAGTAAAACAAATGCAAACATTTAGGCTGTAAGAACAAAACAATAAATGCCAGTAAAGGTTGGGAGGAGGGGTGGTAAATCAGAGGAAAAGCATCACTTGAATGGAGATAATTGCTACTACTGTGCTACATCCCTGAAACCTAGAAAACATTGCAAACTAACATGACCTCAATAAAAAAATTTTACAATATATATCAGCAAGGAAGTGTTGGTACAACATATATGGTTTAGGTAATCAGAAAAAAAAAAGGGAAATGTATGTCATTTCCCTTAGCATCTGTTATTATTACAATGGAAAAAAGATTGCCATATTGTGACTTTGCAATTATTTTAAAAAATCCATGTTCAAAGATATGGATTGTAAGCAGTCTTTGATTTAGTAAATTCATTTAAATGATAACTTTTAAAATAATTCTCAGAGCAGTATAAACCATAAAATATTAATTTTCAGAAGCTCAAGCTTCAATTATATACAAACAATTAAAGTTATTCCTTGATTTCTAATTTTTCATCTGGATGTAATAGGGAATAACCATACTTGCTATTAATGTTGTTAATGTTAGTTTACAAATTAACCAAAACTAACCACCTGCCAAGTATCACATAGAATCTTTGATCATTTCATTTCACTTATCTCTTAGTAACCCAGTGACTATAGAAACTTTGACACACACAGATACATACCACCTCATAGAACTCTATTAGTCACTATTACATCAGCCCTATGACACCATAAGTTGCTATACTGCATATTTACTAGAATTAACTTAAAACACAAGGGGAAAAAATGCAGACATCAAGCAGCTTCTTAATGTAGAGAATGAAAATGTAAGCTCACTGATAGCTCCTAAACATCTAAGTCAGTTTTTTACAGACACAAGTTTCTGGAAGGAAGTCAGAACATACATTTCCTGCTTAGGAAATTACATCTTACTATAGAGAAGTCTAAGCATTTGTGTTCAACTCAAGCAACTTTCTGCAGACTTGTACACAATAAACTCTATTAATAGGCAAATAGGGACATACGAGGAAAAGAATGGCACAGAAATACATAGAAAAATGTGGTACCCTGTAGGAGAAATTATATCTAATATTTAAATTCATGATTCCATCTTCAAATGTAAGGTGTTATATGAGAAACCCCCAATTTATGGTGGAAGTAAATCGACACAGCATTCTGCATTTCCCAGGGGACTCAGCCACAACACTTGTGGAAATGATTCACCATTTGACTGAGCTATACTATGAATACTTGTTTTCCCCTTTTCGTAGAATTCAAACCCTGTGTTCAGATAAAAAGGACATGCTACCTGAGGGTGTAAAGCTGCTGAAGGCTTCATAACTAAAGTGGTTAGTTCCTTCCTTTCTGAGAATGTGCCATAAGCAGGAAATTGTGAAACTTTTGCTAACAGAATATAAAGTAGATGAGCTGACCTTGATAAGCAGTTCAATTTCTTGATTTACCTTCCAAAAAACACCTTGATAAGCAGTTCAATTTCTTGTTACCTGTGTTGGAACACTGACAAAGCACTACGCATGTTCAGGTGCAAATACACATTTATTGTGACAATATTATCTCAAAAGATTCCAAAGATTGCTCTCCAACACTTGAACAAGAAACATACACTTTCTTAATACCTACACATCTGATCTTCACATATTTAAGCTAAGCAGAAGAGAAAACAGGTTCGAGAAAATAATTGCAAATAATACAATGCAACTTGAACTTGTCATCCATGTGTAAGAGATAGCCCCACAAGCCTCATGCCAGACATTAACTCTGTTAAGTGCACAGCAAATCCTGGCTTTCCCACTTCCTTTGTCTTTATTTTTCACAGCCATTATCAGAACATGGAAGACTTCAGTCATCAAGAGGAAAATGATTCCATTGCTCACTAGCATTATTAACAAATTAAGCATATATAAACACACAGAAGTATAAGCTACCGTGCTACAAACTACAGACTTAAGAGTCAACTGAAATGAAGTCAGATGACACACAGATCTTTATCAAATGCAGAGAGTAAAACCCTCTCACTTCCGTTAGGTAAAGCTCTCTTCATAGTAGGCAGCTAAAAAGGTGTCAAAGTCGTAATGTTAGGCAAGTCTTTGTGGAAACTACAGGTTAGGTAGAGAGATAAGCCTAAACACATCAGTACATTATAACTGTGTGGGATGTGATAGGAAATTCAACAGAAACCTGTCAAAGTGGAACTTAGGGCCCAAGGATTTGGACCAGCCTCCTTCAGGAAGTTTATGAAAGATTAAGGAAGGAAAAGAAGCTGTTAAATGTGTCTCTATAAAACAAGAAAAAGACAATTTTGGCTGAAGCACAGAGTTTGAGAGGACTTGGTAGCACCTGAAGAAGCTGAAGAAAAGATACAAAATACAAAATTCTGAAAAGAAGTGATTCTCTTTCTTACAGAAAGAGGTGGGCATTTGGTTTGTTTGTTTTCAACTGAGGTAATACTGCCCCTTCCTTAGGTATCACCACCATAATGCACCCACCACCAACTCACCCATATTCCACCACTATAGACCATTGTGCTTCCTTCCCTCTTTTTTCTTACCCCTTTCTCCACCCCCTCCCACAACTTCAGCTCTGTTATCAGTCAGTTATCAAGGGTTAGTTTGTCAGTTTGCCTTTATTTAACTATAATTCAGTTCCATTTATTACACATATTATGACACCATCCTAATTTATTTCACTTAACATTACTCCTTTCAGCTTAATCCATGTGCCCATGAGTTCATATTTTGATTGCTGTGCAATTTTCCACTGTACACATCTACCATATCTTCTTGATCCACTCACCTCCTCAGAGGCACTTAGGTTGTTTCACTAGCTTAGCTACAGTAAAGTGTGCTTCAATAAACATGGAAGTACAAATTTCCTTTCAAGTTAGTGTTTTTGAATTTTTGGGATAGGTTCTTAGGAGTGGAATTACTAAGTTGAATGACAGCTCCATTTTTAATGTTTTGAGGCCTCTCTATACTGCTTTCCTAAAGGACTGGACCAGTCTGTGTTCCCCCAGCCATGGAGGGGCTTTCCTTTTATCCACATGCTTGCCAGGACTTGTTTTTGGTCTTTTTTGATATAAGATGGTATTGCATCATAGTATAAGATGGTATTGCATCATAGTCGTGATTTTCATTTTTCTAGTAATAAGTGGTTGTGAACATTTTTTCATGTACCTGATAAGAAGTGGACATTTGTTGAATTAAAGTCCATTTGTGGGATGACCATTTAATTGGTCATTTGCTGGGTCACTTTTTTTCTAACTACAGTTCTGAGCAGATGTAAAATGTAACTGAGGAATCCAGGCACTGAGGCCAAAACACTTTTAAGGTTTTGGGGACATACCATAACATGAATATTATGGTAGAAGGAATATATTTTTTAGTCATCCTGAATACTAAATTTGGGACTTCATCTGAATCTAATTTCCTTTTCTTCATCAAAAGCAAATTATAACATACAATCAAAAACTTGGGGTTTTCCAAATATAACTGAAATTCTAATTAAGAGAATCAGAAGTATAAAAACAAATCAATGCCACAGTGAGATTTTGCAAAATAATTATGGGAAATAGGAGTCATTCAAAATTTCAAAACGGCATGATAAAATGTTGCCATCTATCTAGAAAGTAATCACAGCAAACATATGAGAAGTAAAGCAGACATAGAAAAATAAAACTAGGTCTGCATAACTTTGTTTCTGTAAATTTAGAGCTAGAGAAGAAAAAGATAGTCATGAGATAAATGATGGTTTCATTTACAATTTTCTTTTGTAACATTTTATGTCAGGAATTAGAAAACTATAGCCAAAGGTCAAATGCAGCTCATCTATTTAGTAAGCCTCCCAAACATTATTATATAGCTAAAAAAAAAAAAAAAAGGATTTTTTTTTTTAATCAAGTTTCAGTGTACATAGTTTTCTTGAAAACAACCATGACCATTTGCATAAATATCTGTAGCTGCTTTTATGTTACAATGGCAGAATGGAATGTTTTCAAGAGAAATCAGGTAACCCCCCCCCAGAAAAAAACCCAATACCTCCTATCTGACATCTTACAGAAAATATTTGTCAACTCTTATCTTTCATAAATCAAATTAGGATGTTAAAATGGCAGATTGTGTAAATATTCAGGATCAAAAGGAAAACAGTGAGTTAGACTCAATTCTAGCAAGCAGTTTACCCTCCAGAGAACCTTAATCTGGAGGGTCTTTAGGACAGAAACCAACCCAAATCTGTTCACTCAGCCATGCACTCTCCCGAGGAGTGAATCCATCTAATAAAATAAGCATCTACAAATATTTATGTACATTGCACAAATGTGCATGTAAGACTGGAAGTAGCTCTTAGTTTCTCAGTTTTCTCATCTGTAAAATGAGGATAACAGCAATAGCCTTCTTCTAAATTGTGAGTAGAAGTTACAAAGTATTTATCACATATATATGCTTAACACAGTGTCCAGCACGTAACACAAAAGAAGGGGAGGGAGAGAAAAGTAAGAATGGAAGGAAAACAATCTCAGATATTCATAGTAATCCTTTCCTCAATCAAAGAATATTTTAAAATTAAAATTTCAGAATGAACAATTTCATAATTAACTATTCCTTTTAAGTTAAATAAATATAGCATTATGAAAGACATAATCCATTTTTTGTCCCCCCTTTCTTTAATTTCCGCAGTCTTCTCTGTGCATTGGATTTGAGGACATGCAAACCCACCGATAGGAGGCACTCTAAGCATTTTTTTTAACTATTGGTAACCAGTCTAAATTGTTCCATTTCCAAGCTTTTTGTTCACTATTTTCACTCTGATTGACTCTATCTCTCTCAGCACCTGTTTGCTATTGTTCTCTAAAGTGTTTATCCCTCCTGTCTATTTAATTAAATTCTGCTCTCCTTTCAAGACCCAGCTTGCCTTGGTTCTTCCATGAATACCAAACCTCTTTCTAGTACTCCTTCCCTGATTATTCTACCCCCAGAAAGCAGCTTTTTCAGTGCAAATCACATGGCATTTGGTTGACAACTGCATTCCACACAACACTTCTCAGATGTGTACCTCCCATCCAGAACCTTCTCTAGAACTCCAGACTCATTCAACTGCCTTTCTGACACTGCTACTGAGGCGGCCAGTGAACACCTGTTGCTCAAAATTTCTAAAACACCTTATCTTCTAAAACTTCTCTACCACATGATAACACACCTCTCTAGTTGAGGTAAAGTAGGCTGGAAGTTTAATGTTTTTCTCTGATACCCACTTTTAACCTGACTAGACACTCCAGGGTCTGCACCTTTAAAAATACAGTCAGATCCAAGCACTTCTCAATATCTCCACTGCTATCTCCCTGTGGAGCCAACCAACCTTCTCCTAAATTACTGAAACAGCCACAGAATTCATCTCCATCTTTCCACTTTGGCCCTACCTACAAAGTTTTATTTATTTATTTATTTGTTGTTGTTTGTTTGTTTTACACAGCAACCAGAGTGGTCCTTTTAAAACATTAAGTCATGTCCTATCATCTTTCATTTCACTCAGAAGAAAAGCGCCAGTCACATAAGCATTTGCAAAACCCTACCTGATTTCTGGGTCTCCAGCCACTCTGTTTTATTCAGCCTGAGTTGTCTCCTCCCCTTCCAGCTCCCTGCTATTTCCACTCCAGCACACTGGCTACCTTGCTCTCCCTTAACACAGCCCTGTCTTACCTTAAACCTTGTTCTAGTTGCTCTCTCTATGTGAAAGACATTCTTCCTGAGGAAGGCCTTCAGGGCTCACCTTTCCTCAAATATTTGTTCAAATATACCTTCTCAATGGAAATTACTTAGTTCCCGGACCCTCCCAAGGGCATGACAGGTTAAAGCACTAAGAAGCTAAAACCACTTCAGCATGAGTTCAATTGCCAACGGCCCTTGAGGTGACTCACTAGGCTCAGCAGACCTCTCCTGGCCCGCCTGCTGCTCCCTCAGCAGTGTACTTCATCAACCTACCTTTTCTGCTCCCCACTCTGTCTCTGGTGAATCCTCTCACCACCCCATACCTCTGGCCTGTACCTCAGTTCTGTATGAATAAATAACTAAATCTTTTTTAAAAATTACTTAGTTCCATTATCTAATATCACAATTTGTGCTTTCATTCTCTTTGCACTTCAGATACAACTAATATCCCTTTTTCTGAGATCACTTGATTAAAACTCCTCAAGGCACATTGCACTCTCTGGAAAACTAGTAAGGCCTAGGATCATATCTAATATGCAACCTAAATTCCAAATAAGTTATTTTAAACCCAGGCAAAGACTTGAGCTCTTGTTTGTGTGACAGAGATGAAAAATAAGGGATTAGAGGTGCAGAAAAGGAAAGCAGAATACCATTTCAGTGAGATTAACACTAAGAAACCATATACCGCAATTGTTTGTAATTACAACCACATCCTGAGGACAAAAAAAACTACATATTGAAACATCCACAAAATTTACAAATTGCAACATGTCACAGAAAAAAAGGGAGTTAGGGAAACTAGCTATTTTCAAAATAGAAGCAAGTATTGATAGAGTTATCTAGGGATCCAAATGTCCATACCGATGCTTGATTTGTCCTGTAATACACAAATCAAGAATAAGAAACACAACTATCACCATTCAGACAGTTTAGAGTGTTTTTCTTTTGGAAAGGAAGGAATAACTCAAGTTAATAGAAGCAAATACTAAACCATGAAGCCATGAAATGTGAGGAAATGGTAAGTTGGGATTTTGAAGGATAGGAATTGCTTGAAAATATGCTCATAAAAATAACCACACAGGCAGTCCCTTTTAGTGCTGCATTTTTTGTGGCAAAAAATCTTTATTACCAAAGCTTTCTATAAATTCAAAATATTAACTACAAGGAAATACTCATCATCGACATTTACACTTTCAAATACTGTGTCTTAAGTAATACAAATCAACCATCTCAACTAAAATATACTTTCATCTCAAATATCAATATCCCATTCCTTACTCACCAACATGGACAAAATGAGTCACCCTCTAAGATTAAGTAATAATTTCAAAAACATAGATGTTTGAGATTCATAGCCCAGCCCACATAAAAGGAAAATGTTCATCTACATATTTTATGTTTTAAGGAAATATACTTCACTTGGAGATCATTCTTTTTCCTCCTGTTGATGTAAAACATGACTTGAATTTTATAAATAGCAAATAAAATAGTATGCTATCTTAAAATCCTTTTTAAATGAGACCAAAGAAAAGAACAAAGCAATCTAAAATAAATTTTAGATAAATTGACTTTTATAATGGTCTTCAGTTAATTGTCTGTACCTTCTTTTTCTATCATGCAACAACACTGAAGGTCCATATATAATTTCCAGACAGTATTAATTTTTAAAGATAATTCCATGCAAACTTTTTACTTACACATTTTGTAGCTGTGACTATTAACGAGCTGGAGAGGACAGATTTCCCTCCATTAAAGCTTACTGAAACATCAAGAGTCCTAAAAGACAAAGACAAAACAATAATTAAATAAACTAAAAACTAAAGTGAACTTTATTTCCTTTTAACATTCAAAACCAGACAGAAACCCACTTGAAAACTGTTAGGCAGTTGGTTAGTCTCAGATTTGTCTTTCTTTATTGTCTGTCCTTACTCAGTAAGCTAGAAGGCAATTTTCTGAAATTACTAATAGGAGCATTAACAAATAAATACAGTATAAAATTCCTTACTCCAGACTCACATAGTGTGGCAGACCTCTCCTGTCTCGCCCGTTGCTCCCCTCAGCAGTATACATAGTGGATCTGCTTGTTCTGCTCCCCACTCTGTCTCTGGCTAATCCTCCCCTCTTCGGGCACCTCTGGCCTATACTCCAGGTCTTATTTGCATAAATAAATAAATATATATTTTTTTAAATCTAAAAAGTGAAAAAATCCTTTAGATCCCATTTATTTTTTTCTGTCTTCAGACTTTAATATCAACACAACAATATTGTTTAAGAATATAAAATGGCAGTAACAAACCATTCAGAAATAAAAATATAGAGAAAGTAACAATGAAAGATAGAGATAAACTAAAGTTAAATCCTACAGTTTATTTGTAGACATTTATTGTATATTAAAATATCCTAAAAATGCAGATTTTTGTAATCCATAGCTAAGAAATATCATACTTAAGATACAGTTCTTGATGTGAAAATACATTTTCAAATTATAAAACAATAATTATGATTCATTAATTAAGATTCCAGAAAATTATTATTATGGGTCAGGCAGCTGTAACTTTAGGGAAAAAAAAACTTATCAAAGTAAAAAACCAAGGAGATTTTATATTATTGAGGAAAGTGTTCTTTTCTGAAATAGTTTGCAATTACATTATCACACAATAATGTGCCAATAAATCAAACCTATTCATTCATTAAAATAAAATTAACAATATTTTATTGACCTACTTTCTATGTAGCTCATGCTTCAATTCACATAAATATTCCAAATTTCAAAAATTGTCAGAAACTTTGCCTGAACTACTCTGAATTAGAAGAATTTTGTTATATTTATATTTCTTCTCTATACAATAAATTAGTGTCAAATACTACTAATCATAGAGAGTTAGGATAAAACAAGTAATCTCAAACTGCTAAGAAAATTTCAATAACAATGCCATAGAAGGAAAACAAGAACTATTGTGTAGTCTCTGCTATGTGTCAGATGCTATCCTAGGTATTTTATGGACATTATCTCATTTATTCTTGCAATAGTCCTTAAGGTAAGTAGTTACACAGCTTTACAGATGGGGTATGTAAAGTTCAGAAAGCCTAATTACCTTGCCCAACATGATAAAGTTAGGATTCTAACTAATTTTGAAATCTTTCCATCAGGCCTCAGAGGTTTGATGAAATAGAAGTCCTTAAAAATGTTCTTTTTTTCAAAGTGATATTTAGTATGGATTCATACAGGAATACAGCCACCAGGAAAAAATATTACTAACAAACTTAGAGCTAAACTCTTCTTCCATGTTCAGGAGTAATCTTACATAAAAAAAAATTCCTATAAAGTATCCCTTCATAATATTTTCCTTTTAAAGGAATTGCTAAATATGGAAAGAATGAGAACTTAAGAGTATTTATATCAACCAAACTTCTAAAAATTCAACACAGAATTTGGTTTAACTTAAGAAAAAAAAAACAAACCTTAATCACTTACTCTGCAAAACTGAGAACCTTTTATTTTGAAAACTAAGCAAAGTTGAATCGACAATAATCTTTTCTAGTTCTCATTTCATTTATTTGGAAGCTTGTACCAGGAAGTACCTGACACGAAAGACATGGTTTTAGTTTGAGGAAAGATAATTTCATTCATAATAATATGAGGCTTCACTCATAAATATATGAGGCTGTAATCTTTCAGTTTCAACTTTTAAGGAACTAGTAAATATGGACTGAATTTGTTTGTAATATTGTAACTGGTGACTGAAGACAAAAGACTGTTACAGGTGTTCCCCCTGGAGGGGTTGCTGGTGAGGATAGCCCCCGTGAAAACACTAAAAACTATATCGCATTTTGAGGGGGGAGCTACCATTAAGTAATATAAGGGACTGCAGAAGGGAGCAATGATTCTTTCAGTCTTTGGGATTCAGCATTTTTTGGATCTTGCTGAAACCCCCTTGCTGCCCTTTATCAATTTGATACATAGAATTCATCAGAAATGAAACAGTTCTCTACGTAGTGAAAGAAGCACTTTTAAAACTTTCAGTGGTTGGGCCCTTCCTGGTGATGCGAGGGGTTATAACACAGCAGTATGAATCAGTTTGCAGCCACTGCAGCATAATTTCCTTCCCCAGCCAGGAAGTTGACTCAGAGATGTGACAGACCTCTCCTGACCTGCCCAGGGGTCCCCTCAGCAGTTTGCTTCAGTCAATCCACTTGTTCTGTTCCCCACTTTATCTCTGGTGAATCCTCTCACCCCCTCACCTCTGGCCTGTACAAAGTTCTTGTGTTCATAAATAAATCTTTTAAATACAATCTTTTAAATAAAAAATAAACAAAGTTTTCAGTGGTTATCCAAAAAAGAGTAAAAACAGAAGCTATACTTTGACATTGAAGTTCACTTGTTCTATAGTAGACTTATGAAATCATGTACTCAGTCAAAATAACAAAAAGGGAACTGGTCCCCAGAGCTAAGAACAGATGACATGGACCCTGCTTCACCTTGCTGAGTGGAACAGTAACATAACCAAACCATGTATGTCCATCAACAACAGTACTAAAATGATTACATTTTTCAGTTCCTTAATATGGGTCAAACACACTCACCTTCTTCTTCAATTCTCCCAAAGAAACAGCCCATTGAGGTAAATAATAGCATCTTTGTTTTCCAAGAGCAATCTGAAGCTTACAAAGTACCTTGCTGAAATGTTGGACTTCTCTAGCTATTTAAAAGTGCTTTTATTTCTACCACATACTACCTTAATCTGGATCATATTTTAGGTTCTTATATTTAAGTTTCCTTCATTGGCAAGAACTTAGTTATCACTCCTCCAGTTTTTACTATATTCAAATATTTCTCATAGTTAACTAGGATGGCACTTACTACATAACAAGATTATATAAGTGTGTGTGTGTGTGTGTGTGTGTGCGCGCACGCACATGTGATTTGCTGGGAAATTATTTTCAGAAATGTTGCAAAGTTGAAAAATACACTCTAAAAGTTACTTTAGAATTAAAGTTACATTTGAATTAAAATGTTGACATTATTTTAGATAAACAATTTTTTAACTGTTGCCACAATACTGGCACCATCTTGTAGCTGCTACCTTTGCCCAAAGCTACGCTACTGCTATGCTGGTAGAAGAATTGAGAAAGCCACCACATCCTCTCAACAAACCCAATGTCCTGACTTTCATTGACCCAAGACTCCTATATACATACATACATACATACATACATATATGTATGTATGTATGTATAATTAATATCTTCTGACCTATGTCACCTGTGTAAGTATCTTTGGATTACTCATGCCTATTGCTATGTAACTACTAAATGAGATTAATAACTGTTAGTAACAACCATACTCTCAGTTACAGAGACTTTATTATGAACAATTTTTTTTTAAAAAACCATGGGGTTATTTTATGCAGACCTAAGTTAGGGGAAAATTTGTGATTAATTTATCCACAATTAGATAAAATTGAAAAGGGTACAGATTCAGCCCACATGCTGTAGTATAAGGACTCCTGGGTGGAATCTTAGTCACTACACTTTCAATCTTGCATTCCTCAATTTGTAAAATGGGGATAACTTCACCTATCAAAGGGTTACATAAAGACATATTATCTAAGAATTTGATAATATAATGTATGTAAAATGTAAAACTGTGACAGAACACAGCAGGTACTCTATAAATTATTATAACTCCTACCTGTCTAGCAGATTATACAGAATATACGAGTACATTTTTATAAATCTTTTATATATACATGAAAATAAACAACACAGATAACATATTAGAGAAAAATATATAGCAGTGGCCCTCCCTGGTGGCGCAGCGGGTTAAAGCACAGCACTAAGAAGTTTAAGCCACTTCCGCATGAGTTCGATTCTTGCCTGCCGCAGAGGGGCTGCACATGGCGAGCCAGACCTCTACTGACCCACCCGCTGCTCCTCACAGGAGCACACCTCCTCAATCTGCCTGTTCTGTTCCCCGCTTTATCTCTGGTGAACCCCTCTCTCACCCTCTGCATCTCTGGCCTGTACCCCAGTTCTGTATGAATAAATAAATAAATCTTAAATATATATATATATATATATACATATATATATCAGCAATGAAATAAAAATTGATTATAATAGAATCATATAAAATATAGGGAACTAAGAATTGCTCAAAAAATATTATGAAATTTCTTTGAAAGACATTTTTCAATGTTATTTCCTTCCTGTAACAAAAAAATACCCCTTTAAGTAAAACCAACAGCTTTGTTAAACTGTGTGTTTCAACTTGAAACCTATAAAATACAGTCAAAATTGGGTTACTAGTGGTTGCCAATAAACTGATTCAATCTCTTAATCTATACATTACAACTTAATTAAACAAATACAAGTTTCCTACAATAGTTCAAGATAGATTGTAGGCATGATAATAGTGCTATAATAACAAATAAAAATACAGCATTGCAATGTACCTGAGAAGTTACGTAAACAAACAATTACAGTAGAGTGTGTACCAGCAGGATGTGCTAGCAGACTTCTGGAAACGCAAATGACCCCACCCTGTCATTGAGAAACAAAGATTTCCTGGGGGAAGTCATCTCTCAATGAATGCAAAAGTATGATCAAGAGTTAGGAAAAGAGATCAGAAAGGAATCAAAAAAACCCCTTCTGAATGGGAGAAGATATTTTCACATCACACATGTGACAAAGGACTAATAGCCAGGATTTACAAAGAACTCATACAACTCAACTAAAAGAAAATAACCCAATCAAAACAAAAATGGACAGAAGAA